AATCTTAGGACTTCCACAAGCCAAGAGTGACATCTAGCAATATATCATGGCTACCCAAGCTAATTAGAATAGATGAAGAACCTATTCAGTTGGAATTGCAATGCAATACGGTCCTTCTCTTATACAGTGTTTCAAATCATATTATTAGGGTACGGATTGTTTATGTCAAACCCTTAATATGATTTATAACCTCATGTGATTCAAAAGAACGTGATTAAGAACAACTTTCTAAATCAAGTTCAAAATACTTTGGCCAAAGATTTACTGAATCACATCTTGAAACATTCTCCTTCTTTATCGAAAGTAGAGATTCCTTATTGTACATTCACATGCCCCTATGATGAATTAAGAGATCCCAACAACACTTAAGACAAATCTTTTACGGCTTGCCTTTAAGAGCTATCAAAGATCAATAACGCATCACAAGACAACCATGATGCCTCAGGTCTAAGGACTAATTTGCATTATTGCAACTATGAGTTCTCGTTTGACATATAGATAAATACTCCATACGAGAACTACGGTTGATCGCGTTCAGTGTACTCATTCACTAATGAGCACCCACATACTTGTATTAGTGTCAACTACACAAATGGTTTGAGACTAACCATCCTCCCAATTGAGCATACATAATATGTGCTAATCTTGACGGTTTATCAATGTCCATTTGATAACCTATGATTAGGAACATTTTGGGATACTACAGTTAGAGATTAAAGGTCTCATGAATCTAATCTTCTTTAGATTACTTTATCTCTTATTTAGCATACCTTAGACATTTGTTTCTTTACACGATGTAAAATATAACAAAATAAATTTGCCCTTTATATATCATATACGAAATGTATTCTAAGGAGATCACATCAAATGTATTGGCTCTTAGGGCACATTTCTAACATAGGTATCCTAGGAATCGGCCGGACGGTACACCAAACGTGCATTTACTTGGATTCAATTTCATGCGATACTGGAGGAGCAAGCTGAATGCCTCATTGAGGTTCTTGATGTGGTCTGCTCGCTTTGGGGCTTTGACCAACATGTCGTCCACGTAGACTTCCATGGTTTTGCCGACCTGCTCCTTGAAAATTTTATTCACGAGCCTTTGGTAAGTTGCTCCGGTGTTCTTCAGCCTAAAAGGCATGACCTTGTAGCAGTAGGTCCCTCTCTCGATGATGAAAGAAGTCTTCGCCTTGTCATCCTCGTGCATTATGATTTGATTATAGCCAGAGTAGGCATCCATGAAGCTGAGCAACTGATTGCCGGAAGTTGGATCCACGAGCTGGTCGATTCTCGGCAATGGGACGTTGTCTTTGAGGCATGCTTTGTTGAGGTTAGTGTAATTGACGCACACTCTCCATTTGCCATTTTCTTGTTTCGCCACGAGAACAACGCTGGACAGTCATTCCGAGTAGGAGACCTTTTCGATGAAACCGGCAGCTAGAAGCTTATCGATCTCGGCTCCAATGATTGCAACTCGCTCAGAAGCGAAGTTGAATCTCTTCTGCACCACGGGTTTGCTGGTGGGGTTAACATGGAGTCGGTGGCAGATGATGTTCGGGTCGATGCCAGGCATGTCAGATGGCGACCACGCGAACATGTCTTTGTTGTTCTGGAGGAAGGTGGTCAGCTCCACCTTCTCGTCTAGGCTTACCCTCGCTTTTTTGTCTAGCTGGTCAGGATCGAGGGGTACTAACTCAACGTCTTCCTCAGGCTTCCAACCTTCTTCAAGGGAGCCATCTGGGCGGATTCCCTCGTCTTGATCCTTCTCGTCTGGATTCTGGCGGCATCCGATCTGCGCTTCTCTATCTGGCGGGCCAGGATTAGGGGGTACTAACTCAACGTCATCCTTAGGCTTCCAACCCTTTTCAGGGGAGTCTTCCGGGCGGATTCCCTCACCTTGATCCTGGCTCCTTAATTGCTATTGTGAGGTAGCAACTCCCTTCCCATTCGGGCTTGCTTGTCTACTAAGAGCACTTCCTGCCTCTTTGGCAGCTTGCATTACTGGTGTGAACTGCAGATGCTTGCTCTTCTTGAGCCCTTGGGCTGTGCATCTCCTTGCCATGGCTTGGTCACTGTTGATTTGCCCAATCCCACCACCAGGGATGGGGTAGCGGATCTTCTGGTGTAGAGCATATATGATGGCTTCGATCATGCTGATCCATGGTCGGCCCAAGATTCCGTTGTAGGGAGAGACCTTGTCGATGACCATGAAGGTTTGCGAGCAGACCATCAGGGGTGAGTGGATGTCAAGGTCAATTGTTCCAACAGTGATTGACGTGGCCCCATTGAAGCCGGTGAGCAATCTGGTAAGTTTGCTGATCTTGGGCTCCAATCCCATCTGTTGGATAACGAATAGTTGCAGGATATTGGCTGCGCTACCCTCGTCCACGTGAACTCACTTGATCACAGCTTGTTCAATTTGGATGCAGATTACTAGGGCGTCATTATGCGGCAGATCAAGCCCGATCAAGCCCGATCAAGTCCTTCTTTTGAAAGCCGATGATGGGTGTATTCGCAATGACTAGTATGCCTGTTGTGACTTGGGAGACATAAGTCGCCTACGCGATCTTTCTCTTGCGCTCCTTGGTGGTCAGCCCGGACTCCTGGGAGTCAGCTAGAATGGTGTTGATCCGTATGACCTTTTGGGGAGGTTCCTTGGCAGCCGCATCACGATCCTCGATCTGCTGGATGGCCTTCTTTGAGACGAATTCTGTGCAATGGCCATCTTTGACCAACTCCTCAAGGTGCCTTTTCCAGGCATTGCAGTTGTTTGTGTAATGACCGTGCTCCCCGTGGAATGCGCAGTATTTACTAGTGTCCCTCCTAGAGGGGTCTCCCCTCAGGGGTGGCGGTCTTCTCACCCACGGCTTGTCCTTCACTTGTGCCAGGATCTGGTGGATCGGGATAGTGAACTCAATAAAGGTTCCTATTTCCAAGCCTCCCTCTTGGGGTCGCGATCTGCGCTTGTCTAAGGCTTTGTGCTCGAACTTGTTGCTCTTTTGGCTTGCCTGCCTTATCGGGTGATTAGCTTGCTTGCTGTCTTTCTTTGCGGCAATTCGGTCATCGTCCCAAAGTGTGTAGCGCTCTGCCGTTGCGAAGACTTCTGCCAAGGTTTGGCTCGGAGTTATGGCCAGCTCACAGTATAGCTCGTGTTTAGTTGGCAAGCCCTTCTTGAAAGCTGAGGATGCAACTTGGTCATTGCATCCTATGATGTTCGCCTTCTCAGCCTTAACCCGTCTGTGGTTTCTTGCGCAGGTTGAACAAGTGGTTTGCATGCTTTCTGACCGTCTTGTAGGAGGTGTACTCCTTTGTGAAGATGAGGGTGAACTCCTTGAAGTTGCCTATCGACGCGGACGGTAGAGTGTGGAACCAGTCTTGAGTTGCTCCTCGCAGAGTCATCGTGAACACTTTGCACATCAGGGTGTCGTTTGCCTTGTACAGGATCATGGCGCTCTTGAAGTGCCTCAAATGGCTCTCAGGGTCAGAGTCTCCCTTGAATGGAGTGATGGATGGCGTTGTGAACCGCTTCGGCGGTAGAGCCCATTCCACCTCGTTGGTAAAGGGCGAGCAGTCGACTCGATCAATTTCCTTGCACAGGGCCTCCTCCGTGCTTCCTTTAAGTTGGAGACCTTGGAGTCGGTCATTCACTAACTTCTCAACATCCTCTGGTGGCTCGGGTCGATGTCTTCGGTGCCTTGAGCGCCGCTGGTTAACTTCCTCCTCAACTCCCAAGGGTCGATCCCCATGGTTGCTCTGCATGTGGGGCAGATTAGGAGATTGAGCTTGTGAGGATCCCTCTACGGCTTGTCGCCGTGTATTGGTTCTCGAGCGGGCTGGTGAGCGTTGATCGTTGCGCTCGTCACGCAATTGTTCACGAACTCGAGCTCCTTGTGTGCCCAGCCTAGATTGGATACTTCCTTACGGGCCCAAGCGAGCGTGGACATTGGACTGTGGGCCCAACCTCTTGTGTACATTGGTCCTTGGATCTAACCTCGAACGGATCGTCGACCGGCTCAGAGTACGACTTGCAGATGTCTATGTTTCGTCAGCACGATCTCGTTCTCTCCCCTGCCTGTTTATCCCTGTTTGACAATCCTGGGATCTCTCGAACTGCTCCCTGGCATGCTCGTACATCCTCCCCTTCTCGTCACGGGGTCCTAGGTTAGGGCCTTGGTTCAAGTTGATATGCCTGAGTAGCTGGCCAATCAGGTTGTTTTGATCGTCGACTCTTTGTGTGAGCTGATCAACCCGTGAGTTAAGGTTCACCTGACCAGAGGTGCGCATCGGGCCCAATGGCATATGGGCTAGGGCTACATTAGACGCGTATGTAGGTGCATACGTCAAGTGTGGTGGCAAATAAGGGAGAGAAAGGATTTGCTCTAAGACTGGGACGGCATCAAAGTAGCCGTGGGGCTGTGCAGCAAATCTGGCAACTGAGTGGTGTGGCTGCTGCTGTGTTCCGATGGCAGGATGGCGCAGTAGAGTAGCTCCAGCAGGATGGCGCGGGAGAGTAGCTCCGGCAGTTAGCGCTTGAGGCTGCAAGGCTGTGCAGGTCACAGGACCATGTGGCGGTTGTTCTGCAATTCCAGCAGTTGTCTGTGGCGACTGTTCTGCAATTCCGGCAGTTGGAGGTGGCCGCAAGGTGTTGGTAGCCATGGTTTCGTGCGGTTGCAATGAGGTTTCCACCATGAAACCATGAGACGGGCCCGTCGTGGTGGTGTTACTCTTCGTATGTCTTGTATCGACCATGGTTGATTGGAAAAAAGTGTGGAAAATGGATTTGGAGCACACTTTGAGTATTATTTCGCACTCTCAATGAAAGCACCAATTTGTGGGAGCGATTTTCGTCCCACAAGAATATTCGCCTAAGATTCCTTTGTCTTCTTTGCTTCTCTTTCTCCCTGCAAAACAAACTGGAGTAAAAGGACCACACTCGGGGGGTGTTGGCCAAAGGCCCTCTGATGCCTAAGTCAGGTTGGGTGTTTGAAGGAAAACCGGGTGGCCGGAGCCGTGTGTGGTGGTCGGAGCCTTGTGTGAGAGAGAGAAAGAGTATGGTAGCTAGGGTTTCTGAGAGATAATTTATGCAGAGTTTCAGTAGGAATTCAGACGTACCTTAACCCTTGTGCATAGCCATCTATTTATAGTAGCCTCGGAGACTAGGGCTTCAGAAGAATAATTCCACAAATGGAAAAGAATTATTCTTCCCTGATTTGGCGAGGTTGGTGGGATTAGGGATTTGATTTAAATCAAATCCCTAATTAAGGCAAGAATAAAATAAATCTCCAAATAAATCAGGTAACTCCCAACTAAATCAAGTACCTCCCAATTAGGTCAAATAATTCCCAAATTGATTGGCTTAATTATTTGACCTTGGATGAGATATTTTTGCTTCCACACGCCCCAAAAAAATAAAGGACTAGCCTCAGACAAAAATGGATAAGAATGTTAACGCCGTTTACTCTCTTCCTCTTTTTCTTTATTTTTTTGTTTCTTTCAAAGCAAAAGTAACCCTAGAACGTGAATTGTCATTGGAGTCTGCACCAACATTCAGAAATTACTTTTGCAGTCGAAGGAAAAGACCACCAGCCGCCCCAAAAACCAAAGGACTATAGCCTCAGACAAAAATGGATAATGGTAAGTCAATCAAACAATCCTATGCTTTATACAGAATTTTTTTTTTCTACTTTCTGCATGCTGTTTCCGATTATTGCAGAATCCATTTTTTTTTTGTTGATTTCTGTAGGTTGTTCTTTTTAGTATTCTGATAAAGTGGAACTAGATTCACACATTTAGTTAGTTGCACATATATAGTGTAATTACTTTTTGTATGTCTATTTCCTTAACTTGGCTGCTTGCATAAATTAATTAATTTTTTTTCGAGTAGCACATAGATGTATTTGTTAATAAGTATTTTATCAACAATTATACTCTTAGTTTTTGTTTGTTTTGTTTTTAAAATGATGTTGTGGCGTGTGCAAGTAGTTATTGATATTGAAAGTGAAGAAGAAAATCCAATGATCATCAATCGTATGGAAAGTTTCGAAGAAAATTTGCTTGGAAAAGTTGTGTCCACTGAAGAGTAAGCTTATAATCTCTACAACAGTTATGCTACGAGAACTAGATTTAGTGTTTGAAGGGGAAAAAAGGAGATATAATACAAAAAATATTTTGCGGCAATTTAGTTATTTTTGTTCAAAAGAAAGTTTTCAACTAGATAGTGGCTCTTGTTAAGCTCATAATTTCATACATATACATGCCCAATTTACTTACTTCTTTTGCTTAGTTTCCTATAATTCTGAGTTA